TTTTTTGTCAAGTTTACAAGCTGTTTTAGTATTTTTTTAATGGTTATGTTCACTAACAGACACTGTGGAGACCAGCATCGAGTTTTGTTCTCAAGTTCAAAACAGTTTTCTCATATCTGCATTCTGCATATGCTAACGTTTTGTTTTCTTGCAGATGTTCAGCGTTCTGCAAACGCATCGATGCGGTCCAACACTGCTACCAGTGTTATGTTCATGCATGGAGTCACTTTTCAAAGTTTCCAAAAACCCAGCAACCTTGCAGGGTGAAGCCTTTTCTTTTTTTTGTTGTGAGGGAAAACCTGTGAATGTGTCTTAGCGTTGTTGCTCTACGGCTCCCTTCAAGCTTGTTCCTTCTTGTAGCGGTTCTTCGTACCATTCCAACTCTAAGAGATGACCGTCTTCGTACCGAGGTACAATGGACTATCGCATCTTTAGCCTTAGCCCACTCTTTAAAAAGTGATTTGCCTCAAATCACTAGGACATTTTTAGTAGATAAACAAAAGCTTTTGGAAGGTACATCTTTACTTTACTTATTTCCACGTTTTGTCTTAGCAAAGCTATGAAGTTTAGGCGCCTTAGTTACTATGGAAGGCCAATTCCCTCTTCCTGGTTTTAACGTCTCTAAGTGGAATTCCGTAGAATCTGCACCTTCAAAATCCAATGAAGCGCAAGTGTTCATTCAGAAGAATAGCGCAATTATTGGGTGTGAATGTTCTCAGAACTAACGCTCTTTTTCTCTTTTGAATTGAAATATTGCAGGGTGAATAAAGATCAAAATTTGGAAATTACGTCAAGAACCGTCGTTGGAAGACACTGCTGGATTTTGGAGCCACATAAGGTGGAGCGGAAGGAGTGTCGCAACGTGAATGCATGGTTACTGAAAGAAGCGCAAAGAGGCCGTCGAGCAGGTAACACTATTTTTTCAATATCGACGTGTCGACTATATGTGGTTCTGCCAAAAAGGAAGAAACTTGCAGGACGTGACTCAGTAGGTATCCTTGGGACCATGGATGACCCATTTGACGCATTACCACGTCCCAACAATACAATGAATACTAAATGTTCACCTGAGTGGATGAACATTCTCGAAAGCAGCAGAAGACAGCCTCAACCTCTAAAACCAGTGCCTCCAGCGAACAACAAACCAGTTGTGTCTAGGTGGTTCAAACTATCTACATTATTTTTTGTCAAAATTGAAGAAATTTTTGTATGGTTGACTTTTCTGCTAGAAAATAATTTTTTTT